AGGGTCTTGCTCTGTCACCCAGGCTGGAGTGCAGCAGAGGTGTGATCATGGCTCACTGCAGCCTCAAATCCCTGGGTGCAAGTGATCCTCCCACCTCAGCCTCCTGCATAGCTAGGACCACAGGTACATGCCACCATGCCCCGCTAATTTGTTTTCTTTTTTAGAGACACGATCTCAGGGTCACTATGTTGACCAGGCTGGTTTCAAACTCCCGGCTTCAAGTGATCCTCCCACCTCCACCTCCGAAAGTGTCGGGATTACAAGCATGAGCCACCACAGCTGGCCAATAAACATCTTCATACAGGCCTCCTCTGTACCAGGGAGTTCTCCAGGGCACAAACCTACAAGTAGTATTGCTGTGTTTGGGGATACACCCCCAAGCTGTTAGCTGGCCAGAGCCCTCTGAGCCCACACACTGGGAGACAGAAGAGGAGGAGGAACTGCTTGCGGGAGACCCACACAGACAGGCTGGGGGCCTGTCCGCTGAAATTTACCACACTACAGCAGTGATTCTCAAACAACAGTCCGCCTATCAACGGTGTCAGTGTCCTGGCAGTGTCGCCTGGGAACTTGTTAGGATGCAAATGTTCAGATCCATCCAGCCCTCCCGAGTCAGAAACTCCACGGCTGGACTTCACCCAGCAGTTTGCGAGAATCTGGTACACATTCAAATGTGAGACTGTGCTAAGGCCATGGAGGCCCTGAGCATGCATGGGGGAATGGTTGATCACTGGGCAATGGAGTCATGGGGTAGGAACTACAGCTGGTGAGAAGACAGCTGGGATGTGAGAGAGAGGTAACACAGGGACTTTATGCAGACTAGTGCACATACTTCTCAGAACAGCCGTGTTGTGAGAAGCCAGCACAGCAAGAGCCCCACATGAATTAGAGGAAAAGACTGAGTCTACCGGGGTGAGAGAGGAACAACAGCTCTCATTCTTTCGTTGTTTCCACAAATACTTATCGTCTACTATGTGCCACGCACTATATAAGGCCCTGAGGATACAGCAGTGCCCAAGATGAACAACGTTACTGCCTTCCCAAAGCTTATATTCTATGGGAGAAGATTTTTTTTAAATAAACATGTTAGGTAAATAAACAAGGGCTGCAAATCAAATAAATAAGAGTAATGTGATCCAGAGAGCCTGGGGGCACGGCAGCAATTTCCACAACAGCCAACAAGTGAAAACAACCCGAATGGCCATCAGCTGATGAATGGACACACGTGATATATTACGGCAAAAGGAATATTCTCCAGCCATACACAGGAATGAAGCACTGGTACCTGCTACAACGTGAATGAATCTTGAAAACGTTATTCCCAGTGAAAGAGGCCAGACACAAAAATCCATACATTGTATGAGTCCATTGATATCCAATATCCAGAATAGGCAAATCCATCAAGATAGAAAGTAGATTTGTGGTTACCAAAGGACATGGGGAGGGGAGAGGAAGGTGACTGCTAATGGATACGGATTTTTTTAGGGTGATAAAAACCTTACTAAAATTAGATAGTGGACTGGGAGTAAGTAGTGGTGGTAGTTGTACAACTCTGTTAAGTATTAGGTTGGGGCAAAAGGAACTGTGACCTTTGCCATTAGACACAATAGCCAAATCGCCAGCTGGATGCAGTGGCTGACACCTGTAATCCCAGCACTTTGGGAGGATTAAGCAGGAGGATTACCTGAGGTTGGGATTTTGAGACCAGCCTGACCAATATGGTGAAGCCCCCTCTCCACTAAGAATACAATAATTAGCTGGGCGTTGGGGTGGGTACCTGTAGTCCCAGCTACTCAGGAGGCTGAGGCAGGAGAATTGCTTGAACCTGGGAGGTGGAGATTGCAGTGAGCCGAGATCACATCACTGCACCCCAGGCTAGGCAACAAGAGCAAAACTCAGTCTCAAAAAAAAAAAAAAGTAAGGGCAAAAATCACAATTACTCTTGCACCACCAACCTTTGTATAAAAAAGCATTGAATCGCAAACTACTTTCTTAAAGTATACTTTCTAAATATACTAAAAACCACTAAATGTATACTTTTAAGTTACAAATAAACAGCGAAGGGAGAGATGCAGTATAAATCAGGAAACGCCTGTGTGCGGGGGTGACGCTGGAGATGGGCCTTGAACAGGGAGGACCCGGTCACGTGAAGAGGATGGGAAGAGCATTTCAGGCTGAGAGAACAGAAATCGCAAAGGCCTTGAGGCGGAAAAGAGCTGAGTTATTTGGAGAATAAACATGAAGGTCAATGACACTAGAACAGGGCAGACGACGAGGAGAGGGTGACAAGGTGTCAATCAGTATAACCCGTTTCATGGAACGAGACACTGCCCACGTGTACTCACTAAGCAGTGTGGGGATGAAGAGGAGATGCAGACCTGAACGTCTTTGAAATCAAAATTCTGACCTCCATGCAATAAGCAGGGTCTGAAACTCAAAGGGGCTTCAGGGTAAGAAAGTTTTGAGACAAAAGACAGAGGCCTTCCAAAGCTAACTTGCCTTTTTCACTTTTAAACAAGCTCTTCATACTGAGCTTCAGGAGATGACTGAATCCTCTGAAACCGGATGGAAATTCTGTTTGTGCATTTTTCTCAAGCAAGAAGCCGTCACTATCCGGTTTTCTAAGGAGTCCCCCCTTCTGCCGCCCCCCCACCAACAAACTCCAAAATGTTCAGGCTTTCAAAAGGATAACAAAGTACGTAATCAGGTGGGCTACTGTGAACTCAGTCAGTTCTGCCATCCGCAGATCCCCTGGGCTTCTGAGTACCAACATTTGTAAATTTCAGCCCAAAAGCCCAAGGACACTTTTCCCCAGGGCAGCCCTTCCTAGAGCATGCGGCAGAGATGAGGAGTCTTAGGGACCATCATTTCCTGGACAAAGGCTCGCTCACTCCAGGGACTGCATAAATGATTTGATGCAGGGAAAGGAAATGTCGGAACCTCTTTGGTTTTACCTGTATTGATGCTGGTGCCCACTCTTGGAAGGCCCATGTAAGATGGCAGGAATCAGGAACCTTGGACCAAGGCAGGTGACCGCCAGCAGTGCCGTTGCTGGGATGTGCTGCCTGTATGACAATTGTATGTGCCCCTAAAGGGGATGCACAGATCATTTATTAGCTTGGGGCAAAAGTAATTGCGGTTTTTGCCATTGAAAGTAATGGCAAAAACCGCAATTACTTCTACGCCAACCTAAAATTTTTTACTCAGCTAACCATCACAAAGCAGACGTGTGGTTTAAAAATGCCCCATTCCTAACAAAACCACAGCCTAAAGATAGCGCTGATCACGCAAGCACAAAAAAACAATAATCTGGACTCCCTCCTCTTCTCTTCAAAAGCTTCTCGCAAAGGTAAAACAATGACGGTTTATTGAGATCAAAATAAAGTCAGAAGAAAAAAATGAAAATGCTCAGGAGGAATGATTAAAATACATTTTTATTAATGATGAACTTCACCCTTCAGTGTACATATGTGAGACAGTAAGCATGGTATGAAGTCACCACAATTAGCAACAGATTTTCAAATATTTCACCTTCAAGCTTAGTTTGAAATTTGTCCTTATGTATGCTTCATAATGTTCCTAATCATTGTTCATGGGTCCATGCACATGCATATACTTAGGAAAACAAATGTGCATATATTGGGTTGCATACAAAAAACATTTTATAGACAGGGATGTGATGAAAATTTTTAATAAACAGTACAAAGAACCAACTATGTGTCCCAAGCCACACAAATGCCTATGAATTTGGCATTTGTTTGTGGCACATAGTTTGAGTGCTTCTCAGATGTTAAGATGCATCCAGATCACCTGGGGATCTTGTTAAAATGCAAATTTGGATTCAATGAGTGGGAGGTGGGGCCTAAGATTCTGCCCAAGCTCCCAGGTGATAAAAACGCTGCTGGTTCACAGGCCACACTCTGAGTGACAAGACCCTGAGGGTACTGTGATAGTTAGTGTAATGTGTCAACTTAACTGGGCTATGGGGTGCCCAGATATTTGATCAACTGTTATTCTAGGTGTTCTGGGAGGGTGCTCTTAGATTAGATTAACAGTTAAATTAGTAAACTGAGTAAAACAGATTGCCCTTCTAAGGCAAGTGGGCCTCACCCAATCATCTGAAGGCCTAGAACAAAACGCTGACCTTTCCCCAAAAAAGAGAATTCTCCTGTCTGTCAGCCTTCAGACTTGTACAAGAACAAAGGCTCTGGAGATTGCGGACTTGCCAATTCCTTCTAAGAAATCTCTTTGTATATTTGTTGTTTCTCTGGAGAACCCTGTCTCTAGCAGGCACCTGAAGAAGCAGCTACACTTTTTCTTGATAGTCCTCCACTCAGTTCAGAATTATATTCAAACATGATTGTTTGAAACAACAATTGTGTTGAAACATAATTATGTGGCCATATTTGAGGGAGAAAATGACTGAATATTGGCAATTTCATGAGAGTACTGAAAGCTAGTGCTGGTTCAACTTTCTTGTACATTTCCTTTTGTGTTACCTGTCTCCTGATATTTGACTGTTGGCTCTGCAAGGGCAAGGATTGCTTTTGTGCTACTCATGGTTCTCTTGCAGCTCTCGGCACAGTGCGGGCATAAGTTAGATGTTCAGCGAATACCTATTTATTGAATGAATGAATGAGTGAGTGAGTGAATTTGGAGGTACTTTGTTATGCCAGGTAAACCAGGATATCATCAAATGTAGAACTTCTACTTGCCAAGTACTGAACTAAGCACTCAGAATCCAACTACAGATTAGAAGAGACAATTGTGGTCCCTGCGGGCCTTATTGTGAATGATAATGAAAAGGCCAGGGTGGGGAGGTGGGGAGAGACAGCATGGGGAGAAATGCCAGACATAGGTGAAGGGGAGGAAAGCAGCAAATCACGCTGCCATGTGTGTACCTATGCAACAATCTTGCATGTTCTTCACATGTACCCCAAAACCTAAAATGCAATTAAAAAAAAAAAAAAGAAAAAGAAAAGGCCAGGGATGGTGGCTCGTGCCTGTAATCCCAGTAGTTTGGGAGGCTGTGGATCACTTGAGGTCAAGAGTTCAAGACCAGCCTGGCCAACATGGTGAAACTCCATCTCTAATAAAAATATAAAAATTAGCCTAGCATAGTGGCAGGTGCTGGTAGTCTCAGCTACTTGGGAGGCTGAGGCAGAAGAATCACTTGAACTGGGGAGGCAGAGGTTGCAGTAAGCCAAGATTGCACCATTGTACTCTAGCCTGGACAATAGAGCAAGACTCTGTCTCAAAAAAAAAAAAAAAAAAAGGAAGGAAAGGATAATGGAAGGAGACCAATAACATAAACCAGTAAAATAGTTATTTAGTAAGTTCATTTTAGACCATAATGTAAAATGAAGCAAATAATACTGACTGGGTGATGGGCTGGAGTGTGTCAGGCTAGAGTGGGAAGCAACTAAGCCTGGTCAGGGACGGCTTCTCAGAGAAGGCGACATTGGAGCTGGGACCCGGGTGATGAGGAGAGACCAGCCACACAAGGGCCAACAACAGCTCCAAGGTGGGAATGAGCTTAGTTTATCTGAGGAACAAGAAGAAAATGTGTATCTCTTTTCTTTCCAATTACAATGATAAACACATGACCCCAATATTTCCAAACAGAACTCAGAGTCCCAGTATCTTGCTTAAGAGCCTCCAGGTATCCCAATGTCCAATCTATGTGTTGACTTTTAAACCCTTCAATAGAATTCCTGAGCATTTCCTCTTGCACAAGAAGCATCATTTATTTTTCAAGCATCCAAGGGCAACGGGCATGAGTGGATTTTCTAGAGTAACGGATACACAAGTGTAGACATTTGTCCAAGCGCATCAGACTATACACTTAAAATGTGTGAATTTTATTGGGTCAGTTAGACCTCAATGAAGTTGATTTTTAAAATGCAAGAACTCAGTACCTAGAGAGAAGCCAACATATCCTGCAAAGAAAAACAAATACTTTTCTGTGGCCAACACAATATGCATGCAAACATGGACTTCTCCAGCCTGGGAAGCCGGTCAAAGCCTTAGGATAACCACAAATGCATAGGAAGATGGAAGACAGGAGAGATATTGGAAGGGAAAAGGCAAGAGAAGGAGGTGCATTTGTCACTATTTGTTGCTACTCCTTTGCAAGGGACGCCAGTTCTTCTGAAGCATGTTTTAAAAACACACAGGACCCTGCTCTGCAATCTGCCACTTTGATTTCCAATTCTGTTTGAAGGTGGACAAAATAATGGCATGTGTTCCCTACTGGCTTCAAGTGTAGAGAGCTTCAAACATGTGCTTCTGTCCCCAAGGGCATTTCTCACCAACGTCCCCACCACGATGTCTGGGCCTATGGGGGCAGATGCAGAAAACGTTCCTAGTCTTCATCTTACGCTGGCTTCTTGAACTGGCCTCGATGCATGTGCTGTTGTTTGCAGGGCATCACACACTTCTTTGTGATCTGAGGAGACTGGAATTCCTGCAGGTATGCACTCACACGCAGTGTGGCCTAGCAGTCAAGGATCCGTGCACTCAGACCATCCAGGTTTGAAGTCCAACACTCCACTCACCAGCGGCAGGTTCATCCTCTTGGAAAGAAATCTGTGCCTCCGTAAACAGCAGATTGTCATAGAGCCTACCTCATGAGGGAAGGGTGTGAAATTAAATGAGAATTTACACATAAGCTTATGGCAAAATTGCAAAATCAACAAGGATTCTTCACCACCACTTTGGTCACCACTTTGCAGTGTATTTCATGTGGTCATACATAGACACTCCCTCCTATTCTGCACCTGCCAGCCCCTCCCGCTCAGATTCAAATGCAAGTCCAGAGAGGTTAGGAGACTTGGTCAATGTCACTCAGCTAAATAAATATAACAGAGCAAGAGTCAGTCACCAAGATCCAAATGACAACATAATTCTCTTCAGTAGACAAGACGTAGAATTTTTCAATAAGAATGGTGATAAAAGGGTAATAGTTGCTGAGCAGTAACCATGTGACATGTCCTGTGTTCACTGTTTTCCAAACCCTGTCTCAGTGAATCCTTCATCTGCAGACAAGAGCCTGAGACTAAGAAAGGTGAAGCAACCTTCCCAAGGTCACACAGCTAATAAGTGGCTGAGCTAGGATTGAATCTCAGGCCATCTGGCCGAAGCCTGGGCTGTTGAGACCAATTCGACTGACTCTCTAGGGGCTACAGTAAATGTAACAGAGTGACTCCGATGGAGGTGGTGACTGAGAGGAACCCAAGAGCTTCCTGAAGGGGGCAGTCACCACTCAGTGGCAACCAATAGCTGCTGTGTGAAAATGCAGATCCAATGTCACCAGACCCAGTAAGTTCTCATGAGAAACCGGGAATCTGGATTCCTGCATAAAATCTCCCAGTTTTTAAATGCTGGCAACTGAGTCTCACTTGGTTTTAAAACACCATGCATAATGGAGACTAAAGAGATTTCACAGCCAAATACAATAAGCCGGGTCCTGATGTGCAAAACCAAGCTGTAAAAGACATTTTTTGTACGAGTGAGAAATTTTTTAATGACTGGATGTCTGATGATACTATGGGATCTGTGTTCTTTTTCCTGGGTGTGATAATAAAATTGTGCTGGGTAGGAGAATTTCCTTGCTCTCAGGAAAGCCCCACGCTGAGATATTAAGGACTAAGTGTCATGTCTGCAACTTATTTTCACGTTTCAGCAGAGAAAGAAAGAAGAAAGGGAGGAAGGGGGAAAGGAAAGGAAGACAAGGAGGAAGGGAAGAAGATGAGAAGAGGGGAAGGAAGGAAAGAGAAGGGAAGAATGGGAAGAGAGAAGGGAGGGAGGGAAAAAGGAGGGAGGGAGGGAGGGAAAGAGGGAAAATGGAGGAAGAGAGGAAGGAAGGGAAGAAGGAAGGGAGGAAGAAAGGAAGGAAAGGTAAGGAGAGAGGAAAGGAGTAGGGAAGGAAGGAAGGCTAGACAGAGGGACAGGAGGAAGGGAGAGAGAAAGGGCAGGAGGGAAGAGGGAAGAGAGGGAGAAGGGAAACAAAAAATATGGAGAGAGTGTGTGACCAATAAAGCAACTATGGTAAAATACTAATAATTGTTCAGTCTCGATTAGTGGTTCCCAACTAGGGCCAGTTTTGCCCTTAGATGACATTTGGCCATGTCCAGAGACATTTTTTACCATCACAACCGGGGTGTGGAGTACGTGCTACCAGCATCGAGTGGGCAGAGACCAGAGATGCTGGCAAACACACCGCACCGCAGCCCCGCACAATAAAGGATTCTCCAGTCAGTATAGCCAAGGTTGAGAAATCCTCATCTAAATAAAGGATACACTGAAATTATTTTATGATTTTTCAAGGTTTTTGTGGATGTCTACAATTTTTCACAACACAAAATTGAGGAAAACTTAAAAATAAAAACACCTAAATAGAAATACCTTGCAGATCAAGCAGAACATGTCTACACAGTTTGGTAACCATAGCTGGTTACAATTCACAGTCATTTATTCTAATCAATAGTGGTTGACTGTGGCTGCTCTTACAGCTGCTGAATGGGCATTTGTTCAGTTCTTACTATATCCCGTGCACGCCTCCCCGCATGGCTTCCTGGAATTGCTGTCTTTCTGCTTTTCTCAGCCCTAATTAGCCCACAAGGAAGCAGGCCACAGGCCCAGGACTCTGAACCTGCAAACTGGTATCTTGGAGACCTCCGCAGGAAAACCCAAGTTTACTGGCCACTAGGGACAAAGTTTATAATGGGGGGCGTGACAACATGGTTGTCTTTCAAAAGAATATGCTTTCAGTCCGGATAAAAACAAGCCCCTATTCAGGGTCCCTTGCAGCTCCAGACAAAAATTAAGAGGCTGTGGCTGGCAGTTTAATTTCACCTGGAAGCAGCCTCTCTGATGCCAAGCTTGGCATGCTGGCACCCACTGGAGCATCCCTTAGCACCATCCAGCAAAGGCTACTGAGTCAATTGCCATAGCTGGGATTCCAGATGATTAACTGCGTAAGCAGCTCAGGACACATTTGGCAGGTACCTGGGGCAGCCCCGACATTACAGAAACAAGCAACAGAATGCAAGTAAGCCCAAGCACAGTGGCTCATGCATGTAATCCCAGCACTTCGGGAGGCAGAGGTGGGTGGACTGCATGAGATCAGGAGTTCGAGACCAGCCTGGCCAACCCCAGGCCAGGTGATACACTGTCTATACTAAAAATACAAAACAATTAGCCGAGCATGGACGTGCACACCTGTAGTCCCAGCTACTTTGAAAGCTAAGGCAGGAGAATTGCTTGAACCTGGAAGGCAGACACTGCAGTGAGCTGAGATCCTGCCACTGCACTCCAGGCTGTATGACAGAGCAACACTCCTATCTCACAAAAAAAAAAAAAAAAAGCAAATAAGAGAGTCACAGTGGCTCCTCTCCTTTCTCCCAGATTAATTTATCCACTCCCCAACCCTATGAAATATTCCCAAATCCAAAACTAGTGTTTTCCCAAGTGTGGACCACTTTATCTCAGAGCCATTAGGGGAGGGGAGTTGTTAAATGAAGATTTCTTGGACCCACTCAGAATCTATTGATTCAGAATCTCTGTGGGTCAAACTCAAGAATCTGCATTTTGGGACACTGCTCCAGATCCTGATGTTTATTCAATCTGAAACATCTGTCTCTGAATCAAAACTGGGAGACTGGTAATGCACAATTTCCTAATTGTGTGACCTTGAGCACAGCATCTTACCTGAGCCATGATTTTCTTGTATGTGTATGGATATTAAAATAGCACCTGTCTCGTCTAAGAACTAAATAAATGAGAGGGCGTTTTACACACACACACACACACACACACACACACCCCGCACAGTGCCTGCCTCCACTTACATCGCTCAGCAGGTGTTAGTTCCTTTTCCTTAACAGTGATTGGGAGAACATTAGCATCACCTGGAGAGCTTTTCAAATTGCAGAGGCAACCAGGCACAATGGTTCACACCTGTAATCCTAGCACTTTTGGAGGCCAAGGTGGGAGAATCACTTGAAGTAAGGAATTTGAAACCAGCCTGGCCAACATGGTGAAACCCCATCTCTACTAAAAATAAAAATAAAATGATGCCTAGGTCCCGCCTTAGAGACTTGGATTTAAGTAACCTAGGATGAGACCCCTGGTGATGGGACTTTTTTATAAAGCATTCCAGGTGATACTAAACAGCAGTTGCAGTTGAAAAATCACACCTGAGAAGCTGCCAGTAAAAAATCAACTCTCTTTTCAGGAGTATGCACTTCCACTCTATTCTGGAATTCTCAAAAATGTATACTGGGACAACCTGTGTTGAGCCTCTGGTACCCCAAGACTCGGTCCTCTAGATTCTGGCTCCAGGAAGACCCTCTCTATACCTGCAGAACAAAGTAGCTGCAACCCGCTCAGCTGTGGTCATTTTCCCCCCAGCAGCGCCGCACGGGGTTGGGGGGGGGCCGCAGGACCGAGAAGTTGGATCCCTGCTGCGCCCTTAGGTAACTGGCAGAAAGCTGTCACCGGAACACCGAGATCAAAGACGGCTGATCTAGCATCACTTTCTCCCATAGATGCCCAAAGGTTAGCTCCTCTCCCCACCTGCCCACCTCCCGTCAGGCCAACCGACAGGGAGGGTTCCTTTAAGAGCAGATTCGCGAAGACAGGGCTTGGTGGCGATTTCAGCAGTAGTTAACCGAATCTGCAAGGCAGCCTACCTGTCTCAAAGTGAATCTTTCCCTACCAAGGCGACACCGATGCCGCAGTCCTAAGACCACTTCTGCCCACATCTTAACACAGACCCCCGGAATTAACAGGGACTGGCCTGGCCGGTGGGGCTGGGGACAGGACATCCTGTGGCTGCGGAAGGTGGGCGGGGCCAGAGCTTTGCCCCTTTAGTAGGTCAGGGTTTCTTGAAGCCCCTCGGAGCTCACTTGCGTGCGGCAAGATCCCACCATCCACCCACAGCTGCCTGCTGACCCAAACCGATAACTTCCTCACCTCTTCCTCCCAAATCTATACTCCCTGGAAATAAAGAAAAAAATCTCATCGGATACTCTGCGTATAAGTAGAAAATAATTACTAGTGAGGTGGTGATGTTCCTTTGCCTATTTTTGGTTGGTCTCTTTGTTCAGATTTTTTTAGGCATCAGACGGAGCGCGTGCACACACGCGCGCGCGCAGGCCCCCGGCGGAGGGGGCGCGGGAGAAGGGGTGGGTAGAGGAAAACATAGCGACTTCGTTACCCAGATTCGGACGGAAAGGGGACAGTTAAAGCTGGTGCCCCAGCCCTCCAGCTGTTCGCAGGCAGCTAGTCGCTCCTTCCACCCCGCCCGCCTGGACCTCATGCCAACCCCCCGCCTCTCCCGCGGCCGGGGGCTTAGGGCTTCGTGCTCCTCGTGGCTGCGTCCTCCGCCTCCAAAGTTACGGAGTTCGCGAATCGATTTCGACATTTTTTAAAAAAGGAAGAAAAAGGCAAATAGCTCTATTAATCCCCCAATGCTTTTTCCTATCTGCTGCGACTAGCCAGTGTTGGGGCTTGTATAATGAAAAAGGCAAGCCCCGAAAGTTGACGAAATCAGGGTGCATGGAAGTAAGAGCGCGCGAGGAGGGGTCTCGGGCCCCCGCAGTCCAAGCCAACGAGGGCAAGGGGCGCTATCTGCAGCGATGGCCCCGGCCCAGGGCTTCGAGAGACGGAGGTCGGAGAAAGGGATGAGGTGGGTAAAGGGGCGGGGGCAGCTGAGGTCCGAAATCTCAGGACAGCGAAGCTCTGAAAAAGCCAGGCGGCCGCTCCAAGCAAGGCTTTTGTTCTCGCCCTCCCCTCACTCCACCTCCCTCGCCGCCTTTTCGCGAGTCGTACGAGTTGCAGGCGGCACTCACTCTGATCCTCCCTCCTTCACACACACACGCGCGCGGGCTCACACACGCCCCCCTTCCCTTTCGGGCTCGCCTGCCCCTGTTTACCAAGAAGCTAGCACCTGGAATCCAAGGGGTGCCATGGACCCCCTCCCCAAAACCCAAGACTTCGGGGCCACGGGTTCCCAGGCTGTGTGTGTCAAGTCCGCCTCAATCACCAGCCGGAGAAGGCGGCCAGAGGGCGAGGGGGGGCAGAGTCCTACACACACACACACACACACACACACTCACACACACACACTCACGCACACGCTCATACCCACACCTGTGCTAAGCCCAGAGCCCCTTCTCTGCGCTCCAAGCTGAAGTTGGCTTCCCGGCGACATCCCCCAGCGGAGAGGCTGATATGCAGGGAGCGGGGACCTGGGGGAGCGCCATTGCCTAGGGGAAGGTAGGGAGGAGAGAGCCGGGAGAGCGAAGCCCGGAGGGGAGGGCGAAGGGGAGGCAGCCCACCTGGACATGTGCTCCCTTTGGGGCCGGTGCGCTTTCTCCAGCCCCAGCTTGGTGAAGATGCCCACGAGCACCATGACGGCCACCACCCCGCAGATGATGTAGACGATCAGGTTGGTCTTGTCCTTGGTGGGGTCGTGCAAGGGGTCGTCCTTGCGGGCGGGGGGCTTGCCGGTGTTGAGCCAGAGCGGCGTGTCGTAGTTGGTGCAGGTGCTTTGGTTCAGTCGCCGCTTCTTAAATGTGCAGCAGAACCGGAAGCCACAAGTCCCGCAGCAGAAGATGAAGTCGCCCGAGCTGCAGTTGAATGGCGGGTCCCACTGGCCCATGACATCGAAGTAACCCCGGCAGAAGTCCGGTGTGGGCGCCCGGGTCGGAGGCGCGTCCGATGCCTCGGCGCCCTCGCTGGCCTCTCCCGAGGCGGCCCCGGAGCGGTTGCCCCCCGCCAGCAGCAACACGCCGCCCAGTTGCGCCAGCTGCCCGTGCCCCGCTCGCTCCTGCGCCCGGCACACGCGGGCGCACAGCTCGGTGAGGAAGCAGCCGAGGAGCAGCCGGAGGACGCGGCGCATCGTGTCTCCCAGCCCGGGCTCGGCCACTCGGCTGCCGCTGGAGCCGCTGCGGCCGCCTCTCGAGGCGCGGCCGAAGCTGCCGAGGCTGCTGCCGGGGGCTGCGAGCCGCCGCGGGCCGCACATGCAGGGAGCGGCGCGGGGCGCTCGGTGGTCGGCGGCCACTGCGCTCGGCTCAGCCCGCGTTCGCCTCCAGCGCGCCGCGCGCCGAGGGGCCGGCCAGGGAGGAGCGCGCCCGGCCGAGCGGGGGGAGGATGAGCGGGGGCAAGCGCGAGGTGCAGGTCCGGCCGGCCACCGGGGGAGGCGGGGGCGGAGAGCGGGGGAGAATCGGGCTGGCAGCGCCTATCCTTGGCGGGCGGCCCCGGACTGGCCGCCCCGAGCCCGCTCGCAGTATCCTTCTCACCTCTCCAGCTCGCCAAGTGCGCTGGTGAGAGCGAAGCGACACTTGTGGAATGAAGGGAGGACAGGAGGGAAGGGGGAGGGGGAGGAGGGCGGGCAGAGGAGGCGCGGGTGGGGGGGGCGGGAGCGAGCTCTAGAGGGGCGGGGGCGCGGAGAGAGGTGACTCGAGCGGGAGCTAGCTGGGGGGCGTGCAGAGCTGAGCCAGGCGAGCGGGCGGGGAGGAGCGAGCTCGGCAGCCACCGAGGCTGGAGGAGCCGCTCGGATTTCCCGGCAGGTGGAGAACCTCGGCGGGACCTCCCGCGCCCTCTCTGGGTGGGAGGCGCGGCGCAGACCTGTCCAGAGCGCAGAGGCGGCTCAACTCGTGGCTTTTTCACGGGTGCGTGTGCAGGAGCGGCGGCCGAAATCTGCCCACGAGGGAAAAGATGACTCCGAGAGGATGGGGACGGACTAGATGGCTTTCACTCCAAGACAGACTGGGTGCAGTCTGATCAGGATCGCCCCTCCCAGGCGTGCGGAGCCGTCTCGCCCTTCCCGGCTGCGCCCTCCAGCCCTGCGCGCAACCCGCGTGGCTCAACTCCCTGGGGCGAGGCAAGGACCCAGGCTGAGCTGGGAAGGACAGGTGGCAAGCCCCTGGGCCGGGGGTAAGCACCCACCGGGGAGAGGGATTTGGAATGAACTAATCGAAGAAGGTCGGGAGTAGGAGGGGACAGCAAAACAAGGCCGAGGCTATGGCGTGTCCTGGAAGGTCTCTCCTTGGAAGTCCCCAAGCCCCTCGGACCTGCCGCTTTCTGTCCCTCTTCGCCCCCGCAGCGTTCTCTGCGCTCCACAGGAGGGCATACCGCGGCGCCGCCTCTGCGCTCCCGGATCTGGCGCAGCGCAAGGCCTGGGCACCCAGCCTCAGCCACCCTCCCGGACCTGGAGCCCGCGCATCGGTCTCCGGAGCTGGCTGTCCCCTGTCCCCACGAATCCCCCCGGAAATCCTCACCGGGGGCTGCGGAGCTCTGCCTTCCTTCCTCAGCTTCCAGCCTCCCGTCTCCTGTGTGTTTCCAAATCTGCCCTCTCTCTCCTAGCGAATTCCAGCTCCTCGTAGGCCCTCTCTCATTTCTCCCACCTCTTTCTCTCCTCTGCTTGATTTTGACTCCAGTAGCCCCAAAACAGGATTTGCACCAAAGCTGCTACACCAAATTTAGATCTCCCCACGCCCCGGCGTTTTGTTTTTTAATTGCATTAACTAAGTATACACTTTGCAGGCTGCTAGGCGATTTGCAAGGAGATAATGTTTCCACAACCCTCCTCTCCACTTGGCTGCAGTCAAGGGCTTCTCAGGGCATCTTCAGAAAACGAAAAGTTGGACCACATGTAAAATGGTTTACCAGGGTCCCCTGGATTGAGAACACGTGGGAGGATTTATTGGGACTCTTGCAAGTTTTCTCCAAATGAGAGGAAGCTTGGCTAATTGCCCCTTTGCCTTTAAAAATTCACCTTTTGATGTTTCAAAAAAGATTTGCAAACACACAGCAGGACACTGACATGCTGCTCTGGCTCAACCCAGGAGTATTATATTCCAAACCCACCTGGGGAAGGTATGAACATGTTTGAACCAGATCCACCAGATTCATTATAATAGGATCCCCAAAATAGGACAGTATGGAGAGTCTGTCTGTCATGACTGGCAACCCACGCCCACCACCACCTTGTGAGTCCTACAAACACAAGCATTGGTGTCTGAGAGCTAATGAGAGCTGACATTTATTCAGTGCCTGCAACATACCCACTAAGCTTGCTTTTTCTAAAAGCTGCTCCTCAAGGAAGCTTAGAGCAGTGCCCAGCATATAGCAGACAGTCTGGAAATGTTTGCTGAACCATCGAGTGACTGGTCTGTAACTCTCCGTTAGGGAATAGTTCCAGGCCCACACAACAGAGGGAGAGATGTGCCCCAAAGCAATTAAACCAGTTGCCCAAGTAGCTCCGGGAAATGAGTGCCAGAACTGGCATTTGACCCATGAAATTTGAGTCCAGAAACGGCCCTCCAGCTACCACATAAACTAGGCGTCCAAACTCTGTCTACCTCGTACAATGTGTTTACGTTTTCGACTGTCTACCTGCACTGAGATGTAAACTGTGTAATGGAGAGGGTCTTGACTCCCATAACATGTCCCCCAATACCCAGAACCCAGGCATACCAGTCCACAGCTCTGCCCTCCAGCCCTTCAGGCAACTCCAGGGATGTGAGCCTTTTGGGTTGCGTGCAGAGCTGGAGGGCACAGCCCTGGGGTGCAGTGCTAGACATGGTAAACACTCCAAAATATGCATGGGCTGTATTAATTAGAATATTTTGTGCAAGACTCTGTCTTAAAACAAGAGAGGAAAGGAACACTTAGGGCACGGGTAATGGAGTTTCTTCTGTCATTATGTATATAAAAGGTGAGAGTTTTTTATATACTAAATCAGAAATGGAAAGGGACCCTGAAGCAGGCTTCCCATGGTCCAGGAAGCTGTGGCTCAGAGGTTAAGATCTTTGTGGGAGATTATATGGCGAGCAATGGTCCCACCAGGGCTGGATTTAGATGCCTGACTCCTAACCCAGGGCTCTTGCTCCACTCTGCCTGACTCCACCTCAGCAGACATCAGGACAGAGTTTCACCAGGGACAGGGGAGAACAGTAGGTCACAGACATCTTTCTGCAAGGGTTGGGAGTTTTAAGGAAGTGTAAATTTGATTTAAAAAATAATTCAGAAAAAAAGACAAAATCTGGATAGAAAAGTCCATTTCAGAATCTACTTCCAACCTCTGTAAAATATTGCGTGTCACCTGGACATCTGACTCCGGTCCTCAGAGGAGACTCACTGTGGCTGCTGCTCCTCGCTTTAATTAACAGAGACTGCCCCCTGTTTGTGTCGAGAAGAGTGCAAAGCTTGTGCTTGGGAAAGAAGCAGAGAGCCACCCTGCGTGGCTTATGTGCCAATGATTCTAAACTGTAAACCTCCTATCCCCCCATGAGCTGTCCCCAGACCAGATTCCCTGCCTGCTCCTGTCTCTCCTGTCTGCTGTAGCGGCCGCCACTCCCTGGAATATTGCCCCAGCCTGTTTCCCAAGGCTTTGAAAAAATATTAAAAAGAGAGAAGAATCCTCTGGGTTCATTTTACTCTGCAGAGAAAAATGTCAATTTCCTCCCAGCACATCAAGTCAGTAAATACAGTTACTACCATGGGTGGGTACTTATTGGGAACATGTGAGTGAGAAAGCATTTCTTTCAGGGATTCTGACGGGTAGAGGTAGGGGTTATAAATGACCTAATTGGAACACCTGGCAGACTCACAGAAGATTAAAAATCATCATCAATGCCCTCCCCACCATGACCCAAACGAATTCATGCAAATGAACTGATATTAAAATGCAGCTCTTAATGAAAGTACTTTCTATGAAAGAGAGGATGACATTATTATTTACAACACAGGCACTTTTCATATCTAAAGAAGAATCTCACTTGCTCTTGCCTTAATTATGTCAGACTGCAGTACACACAGCAACAGAACGCAGTTGTACTCCCTAACAATTAGAGAAGAGAACCATGTATGAATAACAAAGGATGTTAGCTTACCAGTACATTGCAACCGCTGTCCTGAAGCAACTCAACAAATTGTATTATATGTGCTCTGGTCCTCACCGGAATGAGTGGTTTGTTAATTGCCCTCATCAGGTGGCTTTTAGGGTTTCAAAGAGGTTTTTAAGCAACTGTTAGCCTGGAGGAGAAAAAAAAAAAAAAAAAAGATGAAACAGAAGTGAAATGTAGCTAGCACTTTTGTCAGTTTCAAGCAACAAGGTGATTTGATGTATTTTATTCTCTCCTGAAGAGATGAGGGAATCCTTGTAGAAGTGAACTAGGTCTGGGTTCGGTGAGTGCAGTGGCTCAGGCCTGTAATCCCAGCTCTTTGGGAGGCCTCCGTGGGCGGATCATGAGGTCAGAAGTTCACAAGTAGCCTGGCCAATCTGGTGAAACCCCGTCTCTACTAAAAATACAACAATTAGCCGGGCCTGGTGGTGCACGCCTATAGTCCCGCCTATAGTCCCAGCTGCTCGGGAGGCTGACGCACAAGAATCGCTTGAACCGAAAAGTGGAGGTTGCAGTGAGCCAAGATCACGCCACTGCACTCCAGCCTGGGTGACAGAGTGAGACTCCGTCTCAAAAAAAAAAAAGAAGTCGTTCAGAAGTATGGTTCCCCGGGTCTTCTGGTGGCGGCAGGTAAGATGATTTTTGCTGGCACCCCAGCAAAGATCTTTGTATATTAATAGTTTTGCAGGTATTTCAATGTGTATTAGAAAATAATAATGCATCCAACGTGGGCTGACTGGCATAAACGTTTAAAGTTTATAGTTAACTATTTTAAGTATATTAAAGTCAATTTCAGAAAAAGACAGTATAGTATTTACAAATAAAATAAAGAAACAATGTGAAGTGTCTGGTACTAAAAACTGAAGCTTAGGAAGCACAGGCTTTGGTCTTTCCTCCATCCAGAGTTTCTCAATCTCAGGACTGTAGACATTTTGGACTGGCTAATTCTGGGCTGGGAGTGGTGGGTGGTGAAGCGCTACTCCCTGGAAAATTGCCCCGGCCTGTTGAAAAATATTCCTAAGCCTTTGAAAAATATTAAAAGGAGAGAAGAATCACCTGGGTTCATTTTGCTCCGCAAAGAAAAATGTCTATTTCCTCTGAACGCGTCAAGTTAGTTGGCAAATACAGTCACTACCATAGGTAGGTGTAAAGTTTATTCTTTGAAGACAGGAGCCGAGTAAAAAACGAGGAG